CGCGCTGGCGCGGCCCGGGCGGCGGCGGGGACGCGATGGGGGCCGGCGGGGACCGCACGCGCTGCAGGCGGCCGGGTTGCGGGCTGGCGCCGGCCGGGGCCGCAGCGTTGCTGGCCGGGGCGAGCTGCCTGTGCTTCTGCCGCTCTCTGCGCGGCGAGTTCGTGCACGACGACGTGTGGGCCATCGTGCACAACCCCGACGTGCGTCCCGGCGCGCCCCTGCGCTGGGGCGTCTTCGCCAACGACTTCTGGGGCAAGGGCATGGCCGAGAACACCAGCCACAAGTCCTACCGGCCGCTGTGCGTCCTCACCTTCAAGTGAGTGCCCGGCCCGCCCGCCAGAGAGGTGCGGACTGCGGGGCTGGGCTCAGTCATCTGCCCGCGCTCCGCGCCTCCTTCCCGGAGTCCACACCGCCGGCTCTGGGCGCCGGAGTTGAGAGCGAGTTGCCCGCGCGCGCGCTCGGTCCCGGCGGCCGGGGCTCCATTGGGTCACCCGCGCCCGGCCTGGAGCCGAGGGGACGCGGTGGCGGCGGGGGCGACGTCTCCCGGCCGGGCGTGACTCAGAGAGAGGCGCAGCCCCGCGGGGCACGCGACCCGGGGAGGCCAAGGAGCCAGAGCTGCTGGGACTGCATGCGGGGGAGAAGCCGGGAGGGAGCTTCCTCTGCCCAGAGCACTGGCCTTGCGCCCCGGGCGGCGCGCCTTGCAAGCTCCCCCTCTCCGCGGCTCCGTGCCCAGACTTCGGAGGGTGCCGCGCGAGGTGTCTCCGGGGACCCTTGCAGTCCCGGCGGAGAGAATTTCTCTTTTACAACCCTGGAGTCATGATTCAGCATTTCTGGTGTGAGAAGAGTGAAGGGAACCGAGAGTACCTGGGTTTTTGTAGGGTGGGGTGTTTTGCTGTCCCGAGGGAAGTCGAGAGGGGCTCGGTGTGAAGTGCTGTCTCTCCCTGGAATCTCTAGCGTGGCTCCACCCCTTGTAGTTTGGCTGAGCCTTGAAACTAATGGTAATGCGCCGGACAGAACTGGCGAAGTAATGTTGGCTCGGGTTTATCAGCGTTTTAATTCTTTTCCGAGGGGTGTAGGAGGAGCCCGGGGTTATGGTAATAATTATTTGAGAAAGGGTCGGCTGTCCACCCGGCCCCGTTCCTTGAGAGGTGGCTCCTGACTTAGAAAAGGAAACCATGGCAATTGGCAACAATCTGTGGGACTTTGGCTTAATTTTTCCCCTTAAAGTTCGATGTTTGAAAAAGGGTGGGAAATTACACATTCGACTCTGAAGAGAATATAAATTGTTCTCAGGAAGAGTTCTGATTTCTAACTTTCAGTTTTCCAAATGTTTCTTAATGTGTCTTTTGCATAAATATAAATTTCACATCTAGATGGACCTAAATTTTCATTTATTACGTGAGGGCTGTTGATGCAGGTTTGGAAGTTCACCGCGTGAAGAATGCTGGATTTACCACGGCCCCCGGGTGGACACTGGTCCCATCTTAAAAGGTCAGGGCTGTTGCTGGAGGGCCGGGAAGAGTGTTTTCAGGTCTGGATTCTCCAGAATTTTTGAAGTTTTGTTATAGAGGTGGCAGGGACAGAGGAGAGGGATAGAGAGAGGGAGCAGGGAAGGTCAGTGGTGAAGTAGGAAAGTAGCAGGGAATTGGTAGAGAGGGGGGCCAGGAAGCTCTTCATTCCCGGTAATCCATGCTTGTAAAAAGCACTTTGGCTCTGAAAGGCGTGGTTTTTTTGGGGGTGGGGGGGAGTTGGCACCAGGGATCGAACTCTGAACTTTCCACTTTCGAGGGAGGTGGCGGCACCACTGAGCTAAATTCCTTGTCTTGTGGCTTTTTTGATATTACTTGCTGTGAAAGAAACTTTTTGAGAAGATTGAGTTGCAAATCTAGGGAGCGCTCCTTGGAAAGGTGCCCATTCCGAAAGGGAAAGTTTGGGAGCCCGTCCTTCACCTGCATCGACTTACTGAGGACCAGACAGCGTGTCTGGTCTGTCACCTGAGGGAAACCATGCCTTCTGGCACAGTGGCTGCGAGCTGGGGGACACAGGTGGGTTCAGACCCGCTTGACCTTAAGAATGTGCATGGAAGGACAATGTCTCATCTGTTAACAGTCCACTGTGCACTGCTTTACGTAGACATGTCTTTATGACGTTGAGGTAGTTGGGAACAATTCAGGTGGCCCTTTAAAGTTGTGCAATAGGTTTGAGCTTTGTCTTAAATTAGGCTTGTTTGAGCAAAAGCCTTTGAAACTTCACAAACTCATTGCAAAACCCCTTTTGAGAGAATTGTACGTTCCTGTGCAGTTGTGAGTGATTATACAGAGACCCTCTATGCCCCTTATCCTTTTTCTACCCATGGTAACATTTTGCATAGCTTTAGTATAATATTAAGACCAGGAAACTGATATTGATACAGACTGCTAGTACTTTTATTCACATCTCACTGGTTTTACACATATGCTTTTTATGATCTTGGTAAGTATGTGTTTGGTTCTATCACACGTTGATTTCTGCAACTACTGTGTTCCATCTCTGGAACATAGATGGATCAGTTCCCTCTCAAGGATACCTCCTGCTTCCCTATGACATCAGTGAACACCTGTCCATAAATCTCCACCCTAATCCATAACAGTACGAATTCTCTGTCTCTGTAACTTTGTCTTTTCAATAACGTTATATTAGTGAAATCATGTAGTGTATCATATATTGACATTGGCTTTTTTTCATTTGGCATGAATCTGGAGTTTCATTCAGATTGTTCATGTGTGAATAGTTTGTTCCTTTGTATTGCTGAGTAGTATTCCATTGTATGGATACCACAGTTTCCTTAACCAGTCACTGTGTTAAGGATATCTGGGTCGCTTCCGGTTTATGGCTGCTGTAAACATTCAATTGCTTGTACATTTTTATTTCTGTAGGGAAAATGCCTAGATGTACAATTGCTGCATCATATAATGGCTGCATGTGTAGCTGTTTATGAAACTGCAGAACTGTTTTTCAGAAATTCCTACCAGCAGTGTAGGACTAATCCAATTTCTGTGCTTTTTTTTCAGAACTTGATGTCATTTCTGGTTTGTTTTTTTTTGGCTGAGGATTGTGAACCCAGGGCCTCATGTGGGGCTACATCCCCACCCCTTTTTATTTTCTTTATTTTTGATACAGGTTCTTGCTAAGTTGCCCAGGCTGGTTTTAGATTTGTGATCCTTCTGTTTTGGTATTGGGATTATGTGCATGTGCTACCACACCCGCTGTTGCTGTTTTTTTATTATAGCCATTCTGACAGTTGTGTGGTGGGATCATACTACATGTAGTTGTTTCCTTAGTGGCTGATGATGTTAAACATCTTTTTGTGTATTGATTTGTGCTCTGTATAGTCTCTTTGTTAAATGTGACTTGGTGTCATTTGTCTATTTTCTAAGTGCATGTTTTTAAATGTTGAGTTTTGAAGATCTTTATATAGTCTTTAAGTACATGTTGTTTGTCAAGTATGTGGTTGGCAAATAATTTTTTTCCTTTCTGTAGCTTATAATTTTGTCCTCCTGCCAGGGGTCTTTCCCAGTGTACAACACAAACTTTATTTCCTTTATTAAAAGTAAGTGTATCATCTTTGATTCATGGGATGTATGTCACAAATACTGAGAGCTAGAATTTCCCTTAGGAATAAACATAATCGATAGAATAATGCATTTGCTGTAGTGGTGCTTTGTGTGTGTACTAATAAACAGTAAAGGTGCTTGCTCATGGAGTAAAGATGCTAATCACAATTTTTCTCTCATAGGAAATGAGCCAAAGGTGGAAAGAGGAAATGGGTTACCAGAACATCTACTTTCACCAGTTTTGGGGATACAGGCTAGTGAAAGATGAAGACAGTTTACCAGAATGTGATGGCTCTGTGCTACTTCAGTATAGCTGAGTTAAAATTATGTTTCCTGGAATTCCCTTCCCAGGAGTACCCTGCTTTTGGGCTGACCACAGAGGCATTTTCTCTGAGCTTTGGAGGGTGGAAGTGAAGCCATGATCACACACACACGGGGCAGTGTAGACCATAGATTGTTGCAGAAGGCCTGGCTGCCTTGCAGTTAGTGTGCAGCAGCTGAGCCCTGGCTCCTCCACCTTCTCCAGGGCTCCACCTTCAGCCACCTGCATCGCTGGAGCAGGTGTGTCAGGCTCTGCAGGAGGAGAGAACCAGAGGTTTTGCCAGCCATTCTCATTTGGTTGAGCTTTGGAGGCAGCTAGAAACCAGTGCATGTTCCCCACTCATCCTGTGGGGTCCAGCTCATCCCCACTTTCTTCTCTTCTGGAGTGGCTGCCCTGCTGGCCTGGGTCTTCTGTTATAGACACAAGCACACTTAATAGCTCTAACCAGCTCCCACCATTGTGAAAAATCAGCACTCTATAGTAAATCCTTTGCTTCTGGATCATTCCTAGTGATTCTGTTTTGCTGGCCAAGCACTGATAAAAATGAAGTGTTCCTTCAAGTACATTTAGAATTCTGATTAATTTCTATTTCTAATCAAACTTTATACATTCATTCTTTTCATAAGATTGTGTCGAAAGGCATGCAGGAACATTTTTAGATCATAGTAGAGCAGAGCAGAATCTAAACATCTGTGAAAACTGAACCTGCAGAAGTAACCTTTTTTACTTTGCTGCTTTATTCCTGACTGGCCATGAGCTGTTTGCAGCTCTGAATTCAGGAGGAAAGCATCAAGCTACGTTATAGGCACTGTAGACCCTTTGATCCTTTGAGTGTCCCTTATTCATATGATTCTGACTGATTTAAAAGGTACGTAGGTTTTTAATTTTATCCTCCTTCCTTTCCTCTTGGGAAGAAGCTGCTGCAGAATTGTTAGCAGTGTCTTTTCATGCAGTAAGTCAGTGAGGTCAACTTCATAAGGAAAAGGAGTTTTTGATTTTAAAAACAGGGAAACTAAGGTAAAGTAAAGGACCTTAAACTCATGATTCTCTTTCCATTGTTAGGCTATTAGATCATAGTTTGCTACAAAGTCTTATTGAAGGCTTCTGATGGTAGATAAAGCATAAGAGAGAAGTGGGTGTTTTAAAATGTCAGAGCTAAAAAATAGAATATCTTAATATGTGCAGCTGTAAGAATTTGCAGTGTTTTACTGTTTGATTTTGAGTTTCTTTGCAGTAGTTTGCATCTTTTAGTCATGAGCGATACGCCAACTATGAAAATAAGAACCAGCCTCCATCCCCACACCTAAGAGAAATGAAACATTGCTTTTGGTTCTGTTCCTTTTGATTTGGCCTCTGTGGGTTTTACTTTGCTACAGTGTGTGCTGCTCCAAGGCAGGCAGG